CGATCGAGGTTTCACCACACGTTTGAGCACTCGACACGGACGATCCCTGCAGAGGGTCGCTCGGGCTCAAACGCGATCGACGTTTCACCACACGCTTGAGCGCTCCACACGCACGATGCTCACAGAGGGTCACGTTTCGTGAGCTCCGGCCGGACGTGCCCGCCGCCTTAAGAGTAGAAAGAAACTTATAAAGAAGTCGAATCGAAGTGTTAGAAGTGTTTTTCGTAGGTGAGACTTAGTAGGCGTTTTTAGTCGTTTTTTTTTCAACACTTACATTCAACAAATACATATCTACACCTGTATCTCTACACCTGCAAAGCCCACATCTTTAAAACCTACCTCTGCAAAGCCCACATCTTTAAAACCTACCTCTGCAAAGCCCACATCTGCAAAGCCCACATCTGCAAAGCCCACACGTTATGTCATGATGTGTGATGTATGATGTCTAATGATGATGATGACGATGATATGATGATGATGATGATGATGATGATGATGATGATGGGAGAGCGATGATGATACAAATTATGTTGGAAGATGATGTGAGCAAATGTGCTTTGGAAGAAGCCCTTCGCAGGTGCTTTCGGGAAAAAATGCGACTCAGTTCGGTTTTTTGCGGTGTGTTTTGTCGTTGGTTCCCCGACGTGTTCAGAGGCCCCTCGCTTTTCGTTGAGCTAAAAACGTCTTTGGAACTGGTGACCAGCTATAGCATGGTCACTATAGTAAAGGTGATTACTAGTAGAAAATTCCATCTCGAACAAGAAAACAGTATCATAGAATCATAGTAGTGAAGGTGACAAGTTGACCTAGTCACATACCCTGGATCTTTTCGTTCGCCCGCCGAATGGGGCCCGACTGGTTTCAAGACGAGCCCAGTTCGGCAGACATGACGAGGGCACAGTTAGGATGTCACCAGTCACATCATATACACAGTATGTATACCAGCACCACCCAAAGGCCAGGGTGGTTTTGGATAGAACATACATGGAACATGGGGGGTCTATCAAGCACCTTGACAGGGTGGTGCTGGTATATACAAATTGTTCGATGTGTATTTAAGATACATGGTGCCAGCCCTACGATTCCAACCACTGGTTGATTTTATGCATGTTGTTGAAGAACGCTGGAGGCACTGGTGCAGAGCATGGGAGCTAGTCGAATCGAGCGTGGTATGTGAGGAATGCTGACTGACTTGCTTTGAATGCAACATGTTGGGTATTGATATGTATCGGCATCGGTATCAGTGGGTTGACTTCGACAAGCCACTCTCTCCTAGGTCTTAACAAAGACACATGGAATCGGAAGAAGGATGAAGAAGGTGTTTACATGCAAAGGATCTTCTGGCCGCTGAGTAATAAGTACTCGAGCACCTTGAAATTTGGGTTGGCCCCTTGCCGAAACACACAATCCGGTTCTCACCCCTGAAAGTCCGGATCAAAACCTGTATCAGACTATTTGCCATGTTACTGGGCGCCTGTCTTGTCGATGTTGCTGCTCGTGGTTCGCTTATTTTGGACCTTCCGTTTGGGCGCCAGCCCACGCCGTCAGCCCACGCCACGTCAGCCACAAGCAGGTGGGACGCTGGATAGATGATCAGCGGCTTGGCATGGTTCGATCGCAGGTCTCGAGCAGTGTTGGGAGTCGAGTAGCGCAGAAATCATCAAACCTCCAGGCAAAGTAGAAGAAATTCATGGCGGTGTTGCGAATGTTTGCTCTTTTTTTAAAGAGGAAGGTATTGGGTCGACCCAACTACCCCAAACACTGACCTTTTCATTCTCAGCTGAACGGTCTCTGTTTCAGCCTGATGGGACCCTATGGCTCGTGGGTGGGGCCCAAGGAAGCGCCACTACACGGTGACCATGGATGAGAGGGGCAACTCCTGCTCCGTGGAGTTTGAGCGAGGAGACCGGACGATCGACGGACGATGCCGTCCCCTGCCGTCCCCGACCCTGAAGAACTGGGGGGTGAAAAGGACCCCCCGGAGCTCGGAGCAGAGCCCGGAGGTGTTGAGGCGTCGACCCGTGATGCTCTGTATTGGGATGAGCACAGTGAAGATGTAAATTTGGTGGAATGGGCGCACACAATGCTTGTAGTAAAGTCATTGTGCCATATTGTGCCTAACCAAAAGCATGTTTTTCTGTTTGCGTGTGTGTGTGGGGCAGGGTTTGGCATTTTACATTTCACATACTGTAAAAGTTGGCCATTAAAGTCTCTTTTGCTTTTGGACCTGCGAAATCAGTTGATGGGCTTCGTCTCCGCGGACGCACACATTCTGTCGGTCTCCGACGGTGTCGTCTCCACGGTGTCGTCTCGGTGCACCGGATCAACCAGGAGACGGCCGTAACAGTTTGATCCCAGCATTTCTGAAGTACAACGCGGCTGCTCTGACTCCACGTGCGGTTACGCTTATGTGTCACGCGATGGTGCCGGAGGTTCGTTCGCGTGCCTGCGAGTCCATGGGATCAGTCCGGGTGGGGTTGAGAACAGGATGTTGGTTCCCTGTTTTAGAAGGGCAGCCATTCCACGTGAATAGTGAGTGAATCTAGAATCTAGATCTATCATGATCTATCCGAGGTTTTTGTTCATTTGCTTGGTTGTTGTTGGAGGTCCGGTCTCGTTGCTCAAGGCTTTTACACCACCATTTTTTGGATTGTCAGACTCCAATGAGGTTCACTCTACAATTCTATCCGCATTTTCAGTAATGTAGACTCTTTGTCAAAGAAAAAGCAACTGTGAGAATGGCAGATTTTACCATCCAATTGGCAGGTTTTTACTCATCAGGAGGTCAAGAGTCAAGCGGATGGACTCAGTCGGATGGCGACTGAGGGTTCACCCAGTTCCCTAAGCGCTGGTTCAGTTCGTGGGGTTCCCAGGCACTCACGATGGTACCCTCAGCTGTCTTCTTCGTCATGTTACTGCAGATGACGAATCATGGGATACGCCGCGTGTAGAGGGTACCACCGGTCACCGATCCCCACGATTCTTCACCGGTCACCCACATCGAGACTGGGTCGAACCCTCTACAACAGGGATTTGTACCCTCCAAATACCCTTAGCTTTTGAGGGTCCGGATCCTAAGGGCAGAATCACCACCGAGGTCCCGAGCGGTTTTTCGGAGCACGGCCCATGTCCGGTCGCCACGTGGTGGGGGTCTGAGGATTTGCAGCGCGTGATGTATGGCACCCAGTACTACTTGCAGGCGAGACTGTTTTGGCAGGTTGAGGTGACCTTCCAGGCAACGACCCCCTTTGAAGAAGGAAAATAGACCTGCCATTGGGGCAGGAGGTTGGCTTTTTGGTTCCTTTCACCGATCACATTTCCCAGAAGGCCCCCAGAGACACAGTCCATTTTCAGTGAATAGTGAATACAGGATTTCCGAAATCATAGTACAGTGGTTTCAGAGTAGATAGCACAAACCGGAAGATGTCTTTTTGATGGGAATCCATATACTGTAAACCACCGAACTTGGGGATTGTGCCATCTATTCTGACACCACATGTGCCACAAATTTTTGTTGGAGTCCTTGCAGTTGGTATGGATGAAGCCAATCATTGTCTATTCGACCCTCAGCAGCCAATCATGTCCATTCCACACGTCAAACACATGGCATATCAATGTATAGTGGACAAAGACTTTCTCAATTGCATTATTATGTGATCCTCAATAAAATGTGTAGCCAATCATTTTGTAACAGCCATTTTTCATATGTTCTTCCGTTCTGTAGTTTTTCCTTCTGCTGGAAGATCTTGCAATAGTGATTTCTGCATGCCCTAAACATTGTAGCTCTAAAAAGGCCTGCACAAACCCTCCTGGGGACCGACCTTGATTGCGGGGTCTCCGATGGAAATCATTCGAAGCTCACAGGTGAAAGGCGCTGGCGAGATCGCGTGGATCCATTTGGGCACCTTGGGTCCAGGAGCTGAGCCGGGAAGAGAAGAAGCACCCTCTGGTGCCTTTCCAGGGTCCCACAGGCAGGAGATTCCGGTGATTGTTTGGTGGTTATTCCTATGGGTGTGCAGTCGATGTCACATGGTCTGACCAGAAAGGTTCGATGAGACGCCAGAATGGTTCGGGGGGATAGACGGAAGAGTTCCCCCCTGATCTGGGCGTAGTCAACTTTCATGAACTTTATGCGATCCGACTCCCTGGCCTTTGTCTCCCGGCCGGGAATCTACGCGGAGATTTGAGTGAAGATCATCTATCTCTCTCTCTCTCTGTCTCTGTGTCTATATGTGTATATAAACATATGTAAACATGATTATATCGTGCCAAAGAGTTTGGGATTTAGTTACATTCGGTCTCATGTTTGTTTTGGAAGCTTCTACAGGTCTAGAATCTAGATTGTAGACCCGTGACCTGCCTGTGACTGTGCCTAGGTTTCTAAGTCTGTGACCCAGCGGTTGTTCATCCTCCCAACGGGTCATTGCATCATCCAAAGGCCTGAAGCTTGAGCTCCGCTGGCCCAGGACAAGTGGATGCCCTGCAGGTCCCCCTTGTTGGGGGGGAAAAAAGGGTGTCCCCCAGCCAGCCATCTCGTAGAAGGATGTATCGATTTTCGACCAGGTGAACTCACCCCAGCTGCTATCAGATCAGCTCATCTAAAATGAAGACTTCACCGCAAGCGACTTCCGTGCTCCAAAACGGATGCCCAGGCTGGGGCCAACAGATCCGTTGGTATCTTTGCAAGAGCTCGAAGTCCACAGCACAGCCGCTCTATGTCCATGCCACCAGTGTGGCTTATGACTTGAAGAAGGCTCCCAAGGTTGGCAACTCGGCCCAAAAATCAGAGAGACCAGCTGGGAAGGTTAGTTGAGAAAACGACCGTTTTCTTGGTTTTGGGGGGGTGGCTTTTCACGGAAAGCAGTGCTGGACGTTTGAATGGTTCTAAATAACTTACTGTCCGTACCTTTTTCCTTGAGGGTAGACCACGAAACTGAATGGTCTTCTTCTGGTCTTTTTCCTTCGTTTCGGGCCATCGGAAGACCAAGAATAGACTTCGTTTTCGAATAGACTTCTGGCCTCCTCATCGGGTTGAGTCTTCCTAACCGGTCAGGTGAAATGGCGACTCCAACGGGTCGGGTGAACTTGCCAGGGAGTGCCCTTTTGCGCAGGGAGCGCGCGGACACATACTTTAAGGAACAATACTTTAAGACAAGGGATGGCCTAAGAAAAGACTTTAAGGAACCTTCTAGCGATTGGTCTCCAACCTAATAGCGATTGGCCTCCTTTTTGCACCACTCATTGTGTGACAGGTTTCATGACTTTCGGTGTCACGCTTCCACGAAGGCGACATAAGAAACCGTTTAAAGAAACCCAGTGATTTGGAACCAGTGCGAGTGAATGAGCAAGACTCAAGACTGAATGAGCATTCCCCGTTGGTTTCGAACACTTCAACTAGAATAAATATGAGAAAAGCCGTCCAAGGTTCTTCCAATATTTCCAAGTGGCCTTTCGAGGGCCCAAACGAAGGCAAAGACACTCCAGGAAAACACCTCCCCCGTTTCAAGTGAATGGGGCCCACTTTGGGGTCACAGTTGATTTGAAGAACCAACTCTGCCGATGACCCACACCCACCGAGCAAACTTCAAGAGAATGAAGAAGGGTCCACATCTCTTGGGCTCCCAGCTTTGCTTGATGGACAATGGACACCTAGTCTTACAGTCTTACAGAGTGCCTCTTTTTTCAGGGGTCTATTTCAAGAGAACCGAGCTGATCTGCATGAAAAAGATCAGTCTCGCAGTTCAAGCCCTTCCTCTCCACCGACGCGGACCCGTCCCACCCCGCCCGGTCGACCAGGCACGACACCCACGAAGACGAGCCCCTCCAGGGTGGAGATTCCGAAGAAAGGCCGGTCGGGTGGCAAAACCGGGTGGCGATGACCTAGTGAAGGCCGTTGATGTAGATCAGTGACCAGTGAGGAATATTCTTAAATGAAATTATATAATATATATATATAGAGCTTTACTATATCCATATGGTCCATATATATATATATATCATTATATGTCCATATAGGGGTCTTACTAGTGGTTGTAGGACAATTCGTGAATCAGCTGTATTTGCGTCAACTTCATGTTCCACCTGTGAAGCCCCTCAAAGGTCGCTCAGGTGTCTTCTCTTCGCAGACGAGCAACAACGAGCAGACGGACGGAGGGTTGGTAGGTCACCTGAGAGGCCGCCACGAAGGGCCTTCCCAAAGTCTGTTGAAAAATGGGATGGGCTCTAGGGCTATAGGGATGGGATGGGCTAGGATGGGCTGTTCAACCTCTCTTGGGTCGAAGTTGAGTCAAGAAGCACAACGAATCGAAGGGGCTCACCTCATGGACAGGCTGGCGAATCGAATGAACGAATCGACGGTCTTAAAAATCGCCCCAGATTCGTTCAACGCCGACGGATGAAACAGATCATCTGGGTGATTCTTGGGTAGGGACATGTGGCCCAGTACATCCCACTACTATATAAGCAGATGATGACACCTGTAGTCGTTTCAAGCCTCTTTTTTAATTTGCAATTGGAATCAAATCAGCAAGTTGTGGGCGCATTCTCGCCGAATCGACTGACAAATGTCCACGGAATACATGTAATTGGGTGACTTAGATGGCTTCTCTACGACCTCTGGTTGTACAGAACTTGTTCCATCAACGCAGCTGCGTTTTTGACCCCCCCAACAAAATGGAGAGCGTACGAAGTCGCTGCCTCAGTCTCGTCAGTGGGTTTCTTCTTTCAAGTTTGATCCAGCACTTTGAGAGGTCAGAGGCCCTTGAAGGAGATCGTTGGACGATGGATGGACCATCAGTATAGCTGCTACACGGTGACTCCTCTCTGGCGAGGACCGCAGGTTACACGACGTTTCGACCTGCGCAGGTTACACGACGTGACGACGCGTCAGTCGTTCAGTCGGTTCAACCAGATGAAATGATACATCGAAGCTTTGCAAGTGTCCACGTATTGCCAGCGGAAGATTTTTCAGGCCCCAAGCTTGAATTGAACTCCTGGAGTAATCCTCCAAGAAGCAGCTCATGAGGAAGCAAAAGAGCGGTTCTATAGGTTCTCTCTCTCTCTATATATATTAATGTTCAATTGGATGTTTAAGATCCAAGAAATTGTAGTTCTTACAACCTGTTCGTTCACGGGAGATGGACCCAAACAGTCGTTCTGCTGCGGTTTTGCTAGGGAAACCAATGCCCATAGCCAGCTAGGCAAATCCTTAAAATGTAATGACACACTTTCAGCCACCCTGTCGTACTGAAAGGGAAGTAGGGACGGAGTCCTTTTGTGGGGAAGAACTCCCAACCAAGCACCGGACCCCTGGAACCGCTTTGGAATAGCTGGTCATCCATCCATTCCATGAGGATGGGGGACCCCTAACCACCCCACCTTCCACCCAGGAATTCGAGCCTACCCAAGTTCATGACCAAAAGTTCTGCCGATCCAGTTTCAGGTTCAAGCGGTTTCGAGGGGTGCATGTTCCATCTTCCTTTCATGTCTTCAGCGAAAAACCAGGTCTTCAGTCCCAGGACAATCATGGAACATCAAGGTTTCGAGGGGGACCCGCAGTTTATCACAGGCATGAGCTGGGAGAAATCGATCCAATTCGCAAAGGCCTGTAGAAATTGCACTGATGTTGCCAAGATGACGTCCTGTGCATGTGAAGGCGTGAAGCATACGACCTCAAAATCACAGGGGTGACGGGCCACCGGTACCTCAAAAAGACTTCTCTACTTCCTTGAGAACATCTGTCCAGCAAGCTCTAGTCAACTTGGGCTTTCTGCAGCTGATCTTTGGCACTCAGGTGACCTTGGATGACTCATTGCAATCCTGTAGCGCTCCTTGCCGAGTCTAACGGGATGATTTTGCGATGCTTTTGGAGCCGAAGAGCCTGGAGGACAGCTGTGACCACAGAAGACCCAGACATCATCCTGTTTTTTGGGAGGAATTTTCGGGTGGTTGGTACATGAAGACAAAGGTATAGATAGGGCTGACTTTGCTTGTGACGTGTTACTCAAAGGCATTCTGGTATTTCGTTGTTCAACTATGACATTCAAGTTCATCTTACCAAGTACATTCCCTGTAATTTACTTTAGCATCCAGACAGGAAAAGTCATCTAATCTACAACAGAGGCGTTTATAGACAGGCAGTGCATATACTGGTGCCTACTTCCCGTTTTGGGAACACCCGTGGAAGCCGTCCGTGCCACTTCGGATCTTCCGTGCTCAGCCGCTTCTCAGCTTCGGTCCGAGCCTCCGGTGGCCCCGAGGTGCGGACCCAACGCAAAGATGGTGACCTCGGCCGGAACCGAGTGGCGTGGGTGGCGGGGGCTGGGTGGAGTCCGAATCGGCGGGTGACCGGGTGACGTTTCTGGCCGACCGGAGAGTCCGAAGGGAACGGTCTCTGAGACGTCGGGGGAGTCCAAAAGCTGCTCTGAAGAGATGTGCTATAGGTGGTGGAAGTGGTGGCGAAAAGGATTTCGGAGCGTAGGGCAGAGCGTTTTGGGGAGTGTGAAGTTCTGTTCTTTGACCCAGGCTCTCTCCGATGAACACGCCAAAGTACCTGTCGTGTTAGACCCAGTCGCTCGCTCCATCGCTTCCGAACCTTCGGGCCGGTCTGGCCGGATGGCGTTTCGGAGCGCAGCTCCGATCAAATGACGTGGTGGCCGGAGTTGGGACCCGAGCGAAAGTTCTAGCTATTGATACTAGTATAGCTGAAGTTGTTACTACCCTAAGAACCCTTGGGCTCACTCTCCAGGGCAGGGGTCGGACCCGACACCGAAGGTCAGGGGTCCGGACCCGAAGCAAACCCTCGGTGTTTTAGGGCCGGGATTCTTTGGGTAGTATAGTCATGGCCTCCAACCTAAGAGCGATGGCCTCCAACTTACTAGTGATGGCCTCCACCATAACTAGCTTTTAGCTAGTATTTCCTTTCAATGATGTACACCATGGGCCAACGTGGATGGCCCCCAGGGCCTCGGATGACCATGAGATCCGAAGCAAACAGGTTCTTCTCCACTGTCCATGTGAGTGACTCGGAGTGTTCTTCGCCCACCCGCCTGCCCTCTCGCCGAGACCGAGCGCGCACCGGCGCATGCGCCGCATGCGCCGCATGCGCCGCATGCGCCGCGCTCTGGCTGAGGTCGTGTTCGCTTCACCAAAGGCATGTTGAGCTACGACGAGGCCACGCATTGCATTTGGTGGGGCAACAACTACTACTTGATGGTGGGCCCAAGCCCGGTTCCTTGGTGCATCCGAGGACTTCCGCAAGCTGAACCTCACGATGCGACGACGTTGGTGAAGAAGGACGAACAACCTGAGATGCTACCACAAAATGACTACCACCAATATCAACCTGCTATGCCATGTGCTTTTGGGGGTGCCTTTTTGATCCACACGTTGTTTTGCCCGATCGAAGAGTGATACGTGAAGCAATCTTCTTGCACAAGTGGATAGTAATAGAAATCCATAGAAATCCCGGCCATTGTGGGTCGATCTGCATGTTATTCGTCTTTGGGATCACTGACGTCTTGATACCCCAGGGCTTGTTTTGTTTGGTCGAGTCAAGTGCGGTCCAAATTTCCAAACCGGTCGGTTCAAAGGAAATTCACACCCTTAAGGCCAGCAAAGCAAATTTGAAGCTATCCCTCGCCTCATGTTCCTTCCATTAAACCATTAGACCTGACCAGGGAGTGGGGTTCACATGGGTTCACCACTCCATAAATTTTTGTGCCAAGTTCACAGGCACTCCTTTGTTCTCCTTTGCTTCTCAGCTATTCGATCTTCGCAATCCTTTTGTTTTTCTGTTTTCGCCGTCCGGTCAGTTGGATGAGTTTGGGGGATTGATTTCAACGGAAAGCCAGGATCATGGAGGATCGCTCCCCACTTCAGTCGGTTCATCGCTCCCCATTTGCCAGACTCGGGACCAGGGATGGTGAGCCGATTTCAACCGCTTTTCGGGACCTGTACCTTTTTGGGACCTGCCTTGCGCAAGGGCTGCGCGTGAGAAAACTCACCCCTTCCGCGGCGAGTGAGGTGAACACACTGACCTGGACCCCGGTGAATCCCAATCGGCAAAGGGCCTACACTTGGCACCGCTGCTAGGCCGAGGGCTCCCGGTGCGCTGGGTGCGGCTTCTCCCAGCGAAATTGAAGGAATAGGACCTTTGCCAAATTGGAAGGTTTCAGCTTGGCAGATCCCAATCTTCGCCGTGTGTTTTGCACCGTTCTGGAGAACTAGTAACTAGTAACATCTAGTAACTGAGTTATGAGAAACTTCTTTCCACTGGCGACGTGAAAAGATCACGCGTGTGGACCGCCATCCTCGCACCCGCGAAGAACCGGCCTGGCCGCCGGAATCGCCCGGTTGCTTCGCACCGCAGAGATCTGGACCCAAATCGCGCTGAGAAAAAGGGCGGAGAGGAAGCTCCGGGTGGGTGGATGTGGAAGCTCTGCTCCACGAAGCTCCGCTGCCGGCCTGGACATGGCAGTCGTCATGACTCCACATCGATGTGAGGAGTCATGCTCATGTAGTCTGACGACGTGTTTTGGCATCCCTCAAAAGCCTTTTGGGCTCCCTAATTGGAGTGGACGACGAATCTGTAGAGTCAAGTCCAGATAATCAATGTTAATTCTTCAACAGCATGGCAAACGAAAGACGCTCAGGGGAAATTCAAAGGATTTGCTGATTTGCATTGATTTGCTCTAGAAGTTTTTCTTGGAGGAAAACGGATTGCGGATTTTGTAGCTGGTGCACGTGGTCTGCCCCTTTTTTTTTCGGTCGGAATCTTTTGGGGGGCACCGACACGTCGCAGGTGGTGACCGACACGTCGCAGGTGGTACAGGTGGTTCGCATTAAAAATACATTAGGAACACATGGTACCTCGCATGTGACAAGGATTCTACGAGAGAACGAGTCATTGGTGTTTTCCGGGTGTTTTTTGGCCTCTCCACCCATGGGCACCGTGGCTCATGCTGCATGGGTAGGCAACAACGATGATTGACAAAGTTTGGATGATCTGAGGAACACTGAAGAGTCCTGTATCTGTAGAAGGTTGAAAAACACTGGTGAGTTTTTTTGGATGATCTGGATCTGTATCTGTATCGCACACATACAGATTTGAATGAGTCCTTTGAACCACTTCCGGCATGAGATCACTCGAACAAAGTACTTTGTCGCTGTTGTTGGGGGGACATTCCTGGAAGAAGAATCCTCCTATCCAATTCCCGTACGTATCAACCAGCCACCTTACTATACGCCCTGGTAAGGAGCAAACATCGGAGATGTTGTCTTGGTCAGCAGATGAGACAGTCTTTGCCAGCTGACAGAATTCAAGACGAATAACCAGGTTTCCACCTGAACATCAAGGTTTCCACTATACGGACTTAAGAGATGTCCTTGGAGAACACGTGATTTTTTTGGGGGCTCCAAGAGCTCCAAGGACCCACCCGGATCTTGACGGGGTTCATGGTTCCAAGACATCGCAGCTCGGTCTCCAACACAAACGGAGCTTTCCGAACCAATGGAGTTTCTTTGGAACGGTTCAAACGGAGACCGAGCTGGCTGGCAGCTCGTCAATGGGCGCCAGTGGGGTGAAAACCAGACCTTACGACCTCACCTACGACCTCACCTCCTACGGTCGGTCACGACCCATCCGTAACAGAACCCTCCAATGAGGCTTGAGGGCCCACCTGCAAGAAACCCCTAAGACTCACTGGAAGGCGACCGGTCGCCTTTCAGGTCAGAACGGTAAGACTCTCATTCAACAAGGACTTGGGCCATGAGACTTGTTTTAGATCAGGACTTGGGTGGTAAGTGTTCAGTGGTTGATGGAAGTTTTTCTTGCCCACTTCCATCAACCAATGATCTAGTTTATGGTGTTGAGAACTTGCCCCCTTCTGATTCCGGAACAGTCGACCGGTCGACCCAACCGAGGTTGGGCCATCACCGTGGCTGCCGTGATGCAGTGCGGATCTGCGTCTCGGTGTCTACCGAGCGAGACGCGGAGGGGCCCTGGTCACATCAATTGGCCCCCCCATGGGCCCCATTGAGGGTCATCTCATGTAGGTATGGCTCTTCCGTACCATGATGGTCTGGGGATGCTCGATGGAAGTAAACACCCCCACTAGAGCTCGCGGTGGTTCAGTGCATCTCAACCTTTGCAGTGGTCTGGACATCAACGCGGTTCTCTTTCGAGGGCGTTCACTCTTCCAGTGACGGGATGCTTTCCCAATATCAACGGCTTAAGGGAAGATTTGCATAGATTTGCAGGAAACCCATACTTTTGGGGGACGGGAGAAAACCAAGGTTTCCTGTCGTTTTTCTTAAAAACCAATCCATTGAACCAAGAAAGGGTCAACCATCAACCAACTCCGCAGTCGTGGCTTTGCAGTTCATTCTGGGTCCCGTTGGATCGAGCGTCCGCGGGGCGTGCGCGGGGCATAAAAATGTCTCGATGTTTGCACTGCGGGGCGTGCGCAGGTCAGCTTTCCAAAGCCAACGGCTAACAGACGGTTAAAGAAAAAGAAAGGAAGTGGATCCGACCAGGTCCCCATTGAAAAGGAAGGACATTCAAAAACCATTTGAGCAATGACCAGCACAAGTCAAAGGGTTGTTGAACAAAAACCCAGAAGATGTATTTTCTACTTGTATCCAAGAACCACCCGAAATGGGTGCTAGGATGTACTTCTTTCTGGGGTCTTCCACGAGCAATGTCTAGCTGCGATGTCTCGAATGGAGCGGAGATCTCGGCGCGAATGGAGTTGACGCAAGGCCTTGCAGTTCGCACCCAGTGGCTTGAGAGACAGCATTGAGCTGGTCCTCTTGGCAGTGCAGCAGGCCGCCGAACCGGGGGGATTTGGGTGTTTTCTCCGGGTGCTTTTTTCTCCGGTTTCTCCGGACATGTCCCAGAATGGGTTTGAGGGAACATCTGTATATACAGGAAGTCCATAGTTTTGGGGGGCGAAGAGCCATGGATTTTCTTTTCCTGGTCCTGTAGATGTTCCCTTGAACCAATGCTGGGATCCGAACGGGAGGGGATTTGGGAACCCCGATGAACCCTGGA